GAGGGATCCTACTTCTATTATGTTACACGGTAATTGGTTCCACAAATCAACAACCCCTGTTACCGAACCAGTATTTACCCCAGAACTTGACCATGCTCTTAGCCCAAACGTCTCCGCCTTCTCTTTGCTTCTAGACCAACATGGCTCCACGACGCTGTACATAGATAACGCTTTCAGCCTGGACCTATCTCAATCTTACCCAGTTGAAAAAGAATAAAATTCAACCTATATTCACTCACTTCCCCATCAACGAACGACACGACCCCCCCCCCCCGGTCTAACGCCGGGTTCGATCCCCCAGCGGAAACAAATGGGTACAGATTCTTTCACCCCTGATGCTCCTGTTCACCTAGCAGTAAATAGGTACCTGGGAGTTAGACAGCTGCTACGGGCTGCTTCCTGGGGGATGTGTGTGTGTGAAAATTAGGATTAAGGACTCGCCCGAAACGCTACGCCTGTTAGTGACTGTACAAGAATGTGAGAACTCTTGTATAAATAAATACATTAATAAATAAATAATTAATTTAATCAGGAATGGATGCCCCTTCCCCCTCCCCTCCCCCCCCCCCCGCTCCCAGCGGGACGAGGCATCATTGGGGTAGTGAGAGAGAGGATAACAACGCGACTTCCCACCTTATAAGGACCACTGAGGACTCTGTCTGCAAACTATTAGTTCTTTGTTGTTCTCTGCTTTATCAGGGTGACCACTCCCCCTCCCCCTCCCCAGGGTCCCAGACTCCCGCAGTGGGCCGCCATCTTGAAGACGCCCAATCCCTGATTGGTTAGGGCGGTTCACGCAGCCTTAATCTGAGTGACCAGGGGGCGGTACAGACACCATTCATATGAGTGGCCAGGGGACGGTACAGACACCATTCATATGAGTGACCAGGGGGTGGTACAGACACCATTCATATGAGTGACCAGGGGCGGTACAGACACCATTCATATGAGTGACCAGGGACGGTACAGACACCATTCATATGAGTGACCAGGGGGCGGTACAGACACCATTCATATGAGTGACCAGGGACGGTACAGACACCATTCATATGAGTGACCAGGGGACGGTACAGACACCATTCATATGAGTGACCAGGGGGTGGTACAGACACCATTCATATGAGTGACCAGGGACGGTACAGACACCATTCATATGAGTGACCAGGGGGTGGTACAGACACCATTCATATGAGTAACCAGGGACGGTACAGACACCATTCATATGAGTGACCAGGGGGCGGTACAGACATCATTCATATGAGTGACCAGGGGCGGTACAGACACCATTCATATGAGTAACCAGGGGGCGGTACAGACACCATTCATATGAGTAACCAGGGACGGTACAGACGTCATTCATATGAGTAACCAGGGGCGGTACAGACACCATTCATATGAGTAACCAGGGACGGTACAGACGTCATTCATATGAGTAACCAGGGACGGTACAGACACCATTCATATGAGTAACCAGGGGCGGTACAGACACCATTCATATGAGTAACCAGGGACGGTACAGACATCATTCATATGAGTGACCAGGGACGGTACAGACACCATTCATATGAGTAACCAGGGACGGTACAGACACCATTCATATGAGTAACCAGGGGCGGTACAGACACCATTCATATGAGTAACCAGGGACGGTACAGACATCATTCATATGAGTGACCAGGGACGGTACAGACACCATTCATATGAGTAACCAGGGACGGTACAGACACCATTCATATGAGTGACCAGGGACGGTACAGACACCATTCATATGAGTGACCAGGGGGCGGTACAGACACCATTCATATGAGTGACCAGGGACGGTACAGACACCATTCATATGAGTAACCAGGGACGGTACAGACACCATTCATATGAGTGACCAGGGACGGTACAGACACCACTCATATGAGTAACCAGGGGACGCTACAGACAACACTCATATGAGTAACCAGGGACGGTACAGACACCATTCATATGAGTAACCAGGGACGGTACAGACACCATTCATATGAGTAACCAGGGACGGTACAGACACCATTCATATGAGTAACCAGGGGCGGTACAGACACCATTCATATGAGTGACCAGGTACGGTACAGACACCATTCATATGAGTGACCAGGGACGGTACAGACACCACTCATATGAGTAACCAGGGACGCTACAGACACCACTCATATGAGTAACCAGGGACGGTAAACACTAAACAGAGTTGTATGCTATCATTTAATACTGTTGTTGTTTCAGATTTAGCTACTGAGAACGAAGTGTCCATGTAGCACGGGCTATGGTGAGCCCGTAAAGCTCTTCGCTGCAAGTAGCGAATCTTAAACAGCATCACCGGAGAGACGTAAGGATGAGCAGGCAGGCAGCATCATCACCCAGGGATGAGCCTCGGGTGAAAGTGAAGGTATATAAGCGCACCCACGACGCCGCCACCAGCACAGTGGTCAACCCGCGCCTCCACACACACACAACAACAACAATGGCTGCGACACAGGTGAGCACCCACGCCCCCTCCTCCTCCTCCTTCTCCTCTCTCAACACCTGCTCCGCTGCACACAATATCTGCAACACACTAAGGACATTATGAGTAAGACAATGAGGACGTCTCAAGACAATGAGGACATCACAATGAGGACATCACAGTGAGGACATCACAGTGAGGACATCACAATGAGGACATCACAATGAGGACATCACAAGACAATGAGGACATCACAAGACAATGAGGACATCACAAGACAATGAGGACATCACAATGAGGACATCACAAGACAATGAGGACATCACAAGACAATGAGGACATCACAAGACAATGAGAACATCACAGTGAGGACATCACAATAAGGACATCACAACGAGGACATCATAAGACAGTGAGGACATCACAATAAGGACATCACAATGAGGACATCATAAGACAGTGAGGACATCACAATGAGGACATCACAGTGAGGACATCACAAGACAATGAGGACATCATAAGACAATGAGGACATCACAGTGAGGACATCACAAGACAATGAGGACATCACAGTGAGGACATCACAAGACAATGAGGACATCACAGTGAGGACATCACAAGACAATGAGGACATCACAGTGAGGACATCACAAGACAATGAGGACATCACAGTGAGGACATCACAAGACAATGAGGACATCACAGTGAGGACATCACAAGACAATGAGGACATCACAATGAGGACATCACAAGACAATGAGGACATCATAAGACAATGAGGACATCATAAGACAATGAGGACATCACAATGAGGACATCACAAGACAATGAGGACATCACAGTGAGGACATCACAAGACAATGAGGACATCACAGTGAGGACATCACAAGACAATGAGGACATCATAAGACAATGAGGACATCACAGTGAGGACATCATAAGACAATGAGGACATCACAGTGAGGACATCATAAGACAATGAGGACATCACAATGAGGACATCACAAGACAATGAGGACATCACAATGAGGACATCACAAGACAATGAGGACATCATAAGACAATGAGGACATCACAATGAGGACATCACAAGACAATGAGGACATCATAAGACAATGAGGACATCACAAGACAATGAGGACATCATAAGACAATGAGGACATCACAGTGAGGACATCACAAGACAATGAGGACATCACAGTGAGGACATCACAAGACAATGAGGACATCATAAGACAATGAGGACATCATAAGACAGTGAGGACATCACAATGAGGACATCACAATGAGGACATCATAAGACAATGAGGACATCACAGTGAGGACATCACAAGACAATGAGGACATCACAAGACAGTGAGGACATCACAATGAGGACATCACAATGAGGACATCACAGTGAGGACATCACAAGACAATGAGGACATCACAAGACAATGAGGACATCACAAGACAGTGAGGACATCACAATGAGGACATCACAATGAGGACATCACAGACTGGACGTCGGGTCAGGGGATTGAAACACGAACCCCACAACAATGTTCAGCTTGTCAGTGAGGTGTTCGAAAGTGTTCGAAAGTGTTCGATTCATCCTGAGAGAAATTTAGAGGCCGATGCTGCTATATTTCCACTCCGGTGTTCCAAGTTACGACTGTGATGAGATTTGTATAAATTACCTTAAATGTCACTGAGTTATCCGGATTACCTTAAATGTCACTGAGTTATCCGGATTACCTTAAATGTCACAGAGTTATCCGGATTACCTTAAATGTCACTGAGTTATCCGGATTACCTTAAATGTCACTTAATTATCCGGATTATCTTAAATGTCACCGAGTTATCCGGATTACCTTAAATGTCACCGAGTTATCCGGATTACCTTAAATGTCACCGAGTTATCCGGATTATCTTAAATGTCACCGAGTTATCCGGATTATCTTAAATGTCACTGAGTTATCCGGATTACCTTCCGGTTGGGTCTCCATGCTCTGGGGACAGGAAGCCTGTTAGGGGTTATAGAGGGCCTCTTATAGCCCAGGCCAACTACTAACCTCGCACGGGATGCAACCCACAACAGCCGCATCACTCCCCCGGGACCTGGAAATTGCTAGGCGAACATCAGGTGAAAGTAAACGTGCCTAAACGTCTCTGTTCTGCAGCGGGAGTGGAACTGCTAACAGATATCCCCCATTTTCTATGCATCGTTAGGTGGGTGGGTGGGTTGGTTGGGTTCGTACGTTTATGGCTAGGTTCCAGCCTGTTCTCCTACAAAGAACGTCGCTTTTCGATCGTATGCGTGACATACGGCCAGAAAATGTCGTACTGGGTCCAGAGTAGAGTCCTTTGGGTCCAGAGTAGAGTCCTTTGGGTCCAGAGTAGAGTCCTTTGGGTCCAGAGTAGAGTCCTTTGGGTCCAGAGTAGTGTCCTTTGGGTCCAGAGTAGAGTCCTTTGGGTCCAGAGTAGAGTCCTTTGGGGTCCAGAGTAGTGTACTTTGGGTCCAGAGTAGAGTCCTTTGGGTCCAGAGTAGTGTCCTTTGGGGTCCAGAGTAGAGTCCTTTGGGGTCCTGAGTAGAGTCCTTTGGGTCCAGAGTAGAGTCCTTTGGGTCCAGAGAAGAGTCCTTTGGGTCCAGAGTAGAGTCCTTTGGGGTCCAGAGTAGAGTCCTTTGGGTCCAGAGTAGAGTCCTTTGGGTCCAGAGTAGAGTCCTTTGGGGTCCAGAGTAGAGTCCTTTGGGGTCCAGAGTAGAGTCCTTTGGGGTCCAGAGTAGTGTACTTTGGATCCAGAGTAGTGTCCTTTGGGGTCCAGAGTAGAGTCCTTTGGGGTCCAGAGTAGAGTCCTTTGGGTCCAGAGTAGAGTCCTTTGGGTCCAGGAATCGAACCCGGGCTATAGAATTACGAGTCCTACGCGCAGTCCACTCAGCTACCAGACACACACTGTGTGAGTGCGTGCGTGTACACGCCACTCAGCATATAGTGCGTCTAGACGCAGTAAGACGTCTAGACTAGCCGTCTAGACGCAGTAAGACGTCTAGACTAGCCGTCTAGACGTCCGACTGCATCTGCAGGAACAGTAAAAGCTTTGTGTTTAGCACCGCCATGATGTAACATATATGTACACCTGCGCGAGGACAGATGTGGGCGGCCCACATCTGCCGCTCTGCTGAGTCAGTGTGTCGTTGATGACCTGGGAACGTCTTGTGTATGGGAAGGGGGGGGGTGGATACGGGTGAAGGGGTCAATGATAGGAGAGGAAAGGAAGGGAGGCGATTACAAGAGAGAGGAAAACAATTGTTAAAGAGAGAGGAAAGACCATAGAGCGGGTAATTGTGTTAGGAAAAGCAGTGTCACATCCTGTGAGTGAACATACCAACGTCACTCACCCTGGCGAGTGAACATACCGCCACAGGGACACTCTTGATCAACGTCACTCACCCTGGCGAGTGAACATACCGCCACAGGGACACTCTTGATCAACGTCACTCACCCTGGCGAGTGAACATACCGCCACAGGGACACTCTTGATCAACGTCACTCACCCTGGCGAGTGAACATACCACCACAGGGACACTCTTGATCAACGTCACTCACCCTGGCGAGTGAACATACCGCCACAGGGACACTTGATCAACGTCACTCACCCTTGCGAGTGAACATACCGCCACAGGGACACTCTTGATCAACGTCACTCACCCTGGCGAGTGAACATACCGCCACAGGGACACTCTTGATCAACGTCACTCACCGCCGCGAGTCACTCAGTAATATTTCACAGAAAGCATTTCCTGAGCTCAGACACCGTGGGAATTATTTTAGTGTACACATTCGTCATGTATTTTAAGATGTACATAGACACTCAGGCAGTGTTTAGAGCCAAATGCACTTCTCTCATGCTGGATTCTGCATCTCTGCTCTTCACCTGTCGTTTTCAATTCATTGTGGGTTTATATAGTGTTCACAAACGTTGCATATGCCGCTGATTTGATAGTGTTTGTGTGTGGCTTGGTGTCATGTCTAATTCAGCTATATTTTTTTTTGGGGGGGGGGGGTATTTCGTCTGTCATTCTGACTGAAACACCTGTCTCTCTATGTGCTACACATGTGACTTTACCCATACGTATTACTGATCAAATAACTGTCAAGAGCCCGGGTCCAGGCCAACGGTCCTGTCAAGAGCCCGGGTCCAGGCCAACGGTCCTGTCAAGAGCCCGGGTCCAGGCCAACGGTCCTGTCAAGAGCCCGGGTCCAGGCCAACGCTCCTGTCAAGAGCCCGGGTCCAGGCCCACGGTCCTGTCAAGAGCCCGGGTCCAGGCCCACGCTCCTGTCAAGAGCCCGGGTCCAGGCCAACGCTCCTGTCAAGAGCCCGGGTCCAGGCCAACGGTCCTGTCAAGAGCCAGGGTCCAGGCCAACGGTCCTGTCAAGAGCCCGGGTCCAGGCCAACGCTCCTGTCAAGAGCCAGGGTCCAGGCCCACGGTCCTGTCAAGAACCAGGGTCCAGGCCCACGGTCCTGTCAAGAGCCCGGGTCCAGGCCCACGGTCCTGTCAAGAGCCAGGGTCCAGGCCAATGCTCCTGTCAAGAGCCCGGGTCCAGGCCAACGGTCCTGTCAAGAACCAGGGTCCAGGCCCACGGTCCTGTCAAGAACCAGGGTCCAGGCCCACGCTCCTGTCAAGAGCCCGGGTCCAGGCCAACGGTCCTGTCAAGAGCCCGGGTCCAGGCCCACGGTCCTGTCAAGAGCCCGGGTCCAGGCCAACGGTCCTGTCAAGAACCAGGGTCCAGGCCCACGGTCCTGTCAAGAACCAGGGTCCAGGCCCACGGTCCTGTCAAGAGCCCGGGTCCAGGCCAACGGTCCTGTCAAGAACCAGGGTCCAGGCCCACGGTCCTGTCAAGAGCCCGGGTCCAGGCCCACGGTCCTGTCAAGAACCAGGGTCCAGGCCCACGGTCCTGTCAAGAACCAGGGTCCAGGCCCACGGTCCTGTCAAGAGCCCGGGTCCAGGCCAACGCTCCTGTCAAGAGCCCGGGTCCAGGCCAACGGTCCTG